GGGGGAGGTAGGGTGAGCGTGAGCCCGAGCGCAAGCGAGCACGCACGCCGAGAATGCGCTTCATGGCCTGGAGCTTGACACGGTCCGTGCTGGAGGGATCGAGCATGACGCGGAGCTCGGCGGCGCCGACCCCCTTCGGGTCGTCATCCAGGAAGCGCGACGCATCGTTCGAGGCGAGATCCCGCGTGCGGTCGACGATTGAGGCGCCGAGCTTGGCAGAGGCGGTGCCGACCTCCCGGAAGAGGCTGTCCATGGCTCGGAAAAGGCGGAGGGGGGAGGGGAGGGAGAAGGGAGGGGGTAGGAGGGAAGAGGCGAGAGAGGAAGTGTGTGTGTGTGTGTGTGTGTGTGTGTGGATGTGTGGATGTGTGGATGTGTGTGTGGATGTGCGGGTCTGTGAGGGGCGGAGGAAGTATAAAGGCCTCCCAGGGAGAGGGACGCGGGAAGGAGGGGAGAGGGGAGCCATTGGCGGCCTCGGGCTCCGGCCGAGGGAGCGAGCGCCGGCTCTTCTCCCTGCATGGGGCCGACTCGGGGCCGCGCAGGGCGGGTGACCTGGGCCCATTGACAACAGGACGTCGGCCGGCACGCAAGACAAGAAGCCGGGCAGAGAATGTGCCGGCGGGATGGTGTGCTTCGCCAGCCCCCCAGGGAAGGGGAGCCAGCGGGCCTCGAAAGGGGCGGGGGGCCGGGGACGGCTGTGTACTTGGCCACCAGTGCCACGGCCAGCGGCCAGGGCTCGGAGAACAGGGGCCGGCCCTCTCGTCCTCTTTCTCGGGTGGCCGGCTCGGCGAGCGGGATCGTGGCGGCCGTGCGGGTGGGGGCGTGTTATTGTTGTTGGCCGCCGGGAGCCCCCCACGACGGGGGGCGCGAGCGCGCACTTGGGGCCGCGCGCCCCTGCCCCCTTCGCATATGTGAACCCTTCTCGCTGCTTTTTGTGGCGCGGAGGCTGCGAAGAAGCAACGCGGAGTTCGGGGCGAAGGTGGCTTGCCGGCTGGCGGCCAATGCCTGCCACCACCGGGCCTGAAGGAAGGCCATACCACCGTCGGGGGCCCATCTCTGCCGGGAGACTTGGTGGGGCGTTCCGCTTTAGGAATATGGAACCCGTGACTCTGTCGGAAACACACACAAATGCACGTGCGAGGATGTCACGCCGTGAGGCGCCTGAGAGCCGCGAGTCGTCACCCGACAATTGCCGGGTTTAACAAGCGACGGCATTACGCCGGTGCAAGGCTGCCCCGGCCGGCGCGTCGGTGGTTCCCCGCTCCGGGGGGGGGGGGGG